AAATGCTCCAATCAAAAGTCACAGAATAGCTCAATGGAGAAGAAAGCATGACCCACACATATGCTGCCTACAAGACACCCACCTCAGGACAAAAGAACATCACAGACTAAAAGTGAAAGGCTGGAAACAAGTTTTCCAAGCAAACGGAAAAGAAAAAAAAAGCTGGGGTAGCAATTCTCATATCGGACAAAATAGATATAAAAAAAAAGGCCATAAAGAGAGACCCAGAAGGTCACTTCATAATACTCAAGGGAAGAATCCACCAAGAAGACATTAACATTGTAAACATATGCACCAAACATAGGGGCACCCAAATATATCAAGAAAATCTTAGAGGACTTCAAGAAAGATATTGACAGCAACACAATTATAGTAGGGGATATGAACACCCCACTATAAAAAATGGACAGATCTTCCAAACAAATTACCAACAAAGATATTGTGGCATTAAACAACACCCTAGATGAAATGGACTTAACTGATATATATAGAGAGCCCTTCATCCCAAAGAAGCTAAATACACATTCTTTTCAAATGAACATGGAACATTTTCAAACATAGACCACATGACAGGACACAAAATGAGCCTCAACAAATTCAAGAAAATTGAAATCATACCAAGCATCTTCTCTGACCACAAGGGACTGAAATAAAAAACCAACCCCAAAGGAAAAAACCCAAAGCACCCAAAATCATGGAGACTGAATGGTATGCTATTAAACAACGAATGGGTCAAGAATGAAATTAGGGAAGAAATCAAAACGTTTCTGGAAACAGATGAAAATGAACTCACAACAACCCAAAACTTATGGGACATAGGGAAGGCAGTCCTGAGAGGGAAGTTTATAGCAATACAGGCCTACCTAAAGAAGATAGAAACATTTCAAACAAACGACCTAACCCTACGCCTGCAAGAACTTGAGGAACAACAACAAAGACAGCCCAGAGCAGGCAGAAGGAAGAAAATAACCAAGATTAGAGCAGAATTAAATGACATAGAAATGAAAAGCACAATTTTAAGGATCAGTGAATCCAGGAGTTGGTTATTTGAGAAGATAAACAAAATGGACAAGCCTTTAAGTAGACTCATCATGAAAAGAAGAGAAAGGACACAAATAAACACAATCGGAAATGAAAGAGGAGAGATTACAACTGATACCACAGAAATAGAAGGGATTGCAAGAAATTACTATGAAGAACTGTATGCGAAGAAATTTGAGAACCTAGGGGAAATGAAAACATTTCTAGAAAAGTACAATCTTTCAGAACTCAGTGAAAAAGAAGCAGAAAATTTAAAAATACATCAATAACAGCAAAAGAAATTGAAGCAGTAATCAAAAAACTCCCATCACACAAAAGCGCTGGACCAGATGGTTTCACAGGAGAATTCTACAAAGCATTTAAGGAAGAGCTAACCCCTATTCTCCACAGACTATTACAAAAATTCCAGAAGGATGGAAAACTCCCAAATTCTTTTTATGAAGCCAGCATCATCCTAATTCCAAAACCAGATAGACACACAACAGAGAAAGAAAACTTCAGGCCAATATCGCTGATGAACATAGATGCTAAAATCTTCAACAAAATATTGGCAAATCGCATCCAACAATATATCAAAAAGTTCATGCACCATGACAAAGAGGGATTCTTCCCAGGGATGCAAGGATGGTTCTATATTCGCAAATCAGTAAATGTAATACATCACATAAACAAAAGCAAAGACAATAATCACATGATCATATCAATAGATGCAGAAAAAGCTTTTGATAAGGTACAACGCCCATTTATGATAAAAACACTCAGCAAAGTGGGAATACAGGGAGCATTTCTCAAAATAATAAAGGCCATATATGAGAGACCTACAGCCAACATCATACTCAATGGGAAAAAACTAAAAGCTTTTCCACTGAGATCAGGAACAAGACAAGGATGTCCACTTTCACCACTTCTATTCAATATAGTATTGAAAGTTTTAGCCACAGCGATCAGGCCAGAAAAGGAAATAAAAGGCATCCAAATAGGAAAGGAGGAAGCAAAACTGTCACTGTTTGCAGATGACATGATAGTGTACATGGAAAATTTTATAGACTCTACCCAAAAACTGTTCGAACTAATTAATGAATTTGGCAAAACAGCTGGTTACAAAGTCAATATCCAGAAGTCGAAGGCATTTTTGTATACGAACAGTGAATCAGCAGAAGCAGAAATCAAGAAAAAATCCCATTTGATATAGCAAAAAGAAAAATACAATATCTGTGAATAAACCTAACTAAGGAGGTAAAATACCTGTATGCAGAAAACTACACAGCCCTGAAGAAAGAAATCAAGGAAGACACAAACAAATGGAAATATATACCTTGTTCATGGATTGGAAGAATTAACATCATCAAAATATCGATACTACCCAAAGCAATATAGAGATTCAATGCAATCCCTATTAAAGTACCAATGGCGTATTTCACAGAGATAGCACAGACACTTCAAAAATTTATATGGAGCCATAAACGAGCCCAAATATCAGCTGCTCTTTTGAGAAAGAAGAACAAAGTAGGGGGAATCACAATACCTGATATCAAACTGTATTACAAGGCCACTGTAATCAAAACAGCCTGGTACTGGCATAAAAGCAGGCACATAGACCAATGGAACAGAACAGAGAGCCCAGAAATAAACCCAACTCTCTACAGTCAATTAATATTCGACAAAGGGGGCAGTAACATAAAATGGAGTGAAAATAGCCTCTTCAACAAATGGTGTTGGGAGAACTGGACAGCTACGTGCAAAAAAATGAAACTTGAGCACAGACTTACACCATACACCAAAATGAATTCAAGGTGGATAAAAGACTTAAATATAAGCTGTGACACCATTAAAGTCCTAGAAGAGAACATCGGCAAGAAAATCTCAGATATTTCATGCAGCAACTTTTTTACTGATATGTCCCCTAGAGCAAGGAATGTAAAGGAAAGAATAAACAAATGGGATCTCATCAAAATAAAAAGCTTCTGCGTGGCTAAAGAAAACAGTATTAAATTAGCAAGACAACCAACTGTATGGGAAAACATATTTGCCAATGATACCTCAGACATAGGTTTAATCTCCAAAATATACAAAGAACTTACACAACTCCACTCTAAGAAGACAACCAACCCAATTAAAAAATGGGAAAAGGACTTGAACAAACACTTCTCCAAGGAGGACATACAGATCATTCAGAGACACATGAAGAGATGCTCAATATCATTAGCTATCAGAGAGATGCAAACTAAAACCACAATGAGATACCACTTTACACCAGTAAGGCTGGCTATCATAAAGCAACAAACAACAAATGTTGGAGAGGTTGTGGAGAAAAGGGGTCCTTAGTCCACTGTTGGTGGGATTGCAGACTGGTACAACCATTATGGAAAACAGTATGGAATTTTCTCAGAAAAATAAAAATCGACCTGCCTTTTGACCCAGCAATTCCACTGCTCGAATTATATCCTAAGAATCCTAAAACTTTAATATCAAAGAATCTATTCACCACAATGTTCATAGCAGCACAATTTACAATAGCCAAGAGCTGGAAGCAACCTAGGTGCCCATCAGTAAATGAATGGATCAAAAAATTGTGGTACATATATACAATGGAATTCTATGCAGCAGAGAGAAAGAAGGAGCTACTACCTTTTGCAACAACCTGGATGGAAATGGAAAGCATTATGCTGAGTGAAATAGGCCCGATGCTGAAAGACAAATACCATATGATCTCACCTTTAACAGGAAGCTAAACTACAAAACAAACAAGCAAGCAGAAAAAAAAAAAAAGACACTGAAATAGAGAGCAAGGGAACAGTGACCAGAGGGGAGAAGGAAGGGAAGTTAAGGGGAAAAGGGGGGAGGGATTTGGAGGAACAAATAGGAAGGACACAGGGATGAGAACTAAGGGGGGTGGAAATGAGAGGGAGGTGGGGAACAAGGGGTGGGGGAGGCTGGGATGGGAAAAATAGACAAAAAACTGTACTTGAAAAATAACTAAATGAAATTAATTAAAATTAAAAAAAGAATCTTTTCATATATTTATTGGCCATCTACATGTCCTCTTTGTAGAAGTGTTATTCAGTCTTTTTTTTTTTTTTGGTGTTGAGTTTTGTAAGCACTTTGTAAATTTTGGATATTACTCTCTCATCAGATGTTATTGGTGAATATGTTCTTCCATTCTGTGGGTTGTCTTTTATTTTGTTGAGAATTTCCTTTACCTTGCAGAAACTTTTAGTTTGATGTAATCCCATTTGTTTATTTGTCCTTTGTTTCCTCTATCTGGGGAATTATATGTGATAAAAAATTGCTAAGAACAATGTCTGAGATTTTGTTGCCTATGTTTTCTTCTAGGATTTTTATGGCTTCAGTTCTAACATTTAAGTCTTTGGTCTATTGTGAATTTATTCTTGTGTGTGGTGTAATAAGGTGGTCTAGTTTCATTTTTTTGCATGTATTCATTCAATTTTCCCAACACCATTTATTGAATAGGCTATCTCTAACCCACTGTACATACTTTCTTCCTCTGTTGAATATTAATTATTTTATTTATGGGCTCTCTAGTCTGTTTCATTGACCATGTGTCTGTTTTCATGCCAGTACCATGCTCTTTTGCTTACTATGGCCTTATACTAGACTTTGACATTAGAAGCATGATTCCTCCAAATGTGTTTTTCTCAGGATCACTGTTGCTATGTGGGACCTTTCATGGTTCCACGTAAATTTTTTAAATATTTGTTCTAGTTTGGTGAGATATGTCTTGGAATCTTGATTGGAATTGTGTTGAATCTGTAAATTGCCTTGTGTAGTATGGACAGTTTTATGATGTTAATTCTTTGTCTCCATGAACAGGATATGTGCTTCCACTTATTTGTATCTTCTTCAATTTCTTTCTTTGGTGTCTTTTAATTTTCTAATTAAGCGTGTCTCTTTTACAATATTGGTTAGGTTTATTTTAAGGTATTTTATTATTTTCAACTCCATGTCCCCCCATTCACAATACAGACCAGTCAAAGTGCTTGGGCTGAGGTGTATATTGGGTGGATTTACTCTGCCTTCTCTTTCTGTACTGTCAGTATAAGAACACAACCACACAGTGCTTACCAAGAGCATTTAGATGGTTAGAAAAAGCTGGAGGTAACTCTCTATGTTAGAAGACACTAGGGAATGTAACATAATCAAATGATGTATCAGTTTCTGCCATGTACTCTTGAAAAAAACGTAAAAAGACATTGGTGACAAAGTATGGATCATATATGATCCCAATGTTGCTGTTTGGGCTCATGGAAGGCATTTACTCTTCTTCAATTATTTCACCTTCCAATAAATAGCTGACATGTTTACAGATACATTGCCACTCACCAGCAACATTTTTTTTGTTCCACTCTTAGTAAGTAAAAAATGACAATCTCACAAATTTTCCCAATTTAGTCTCCAGGAACAGCTTAGAGCTCACAAAATCCAGAGGGTGAACACTGAGATGCTCTTACCAAGAAACTGCTGACATCTTTTCAAAACCACTGAAGAGATTTTGTGTGCTTCCCTTCAGTTGCCTTCTCTTTAGACTCACTTTCTCTTGCTGAACTACCCCATTTTTTCTTATAGCACAAGATTATAATAAAAGTAATGTGTTGACATTATTCCTTTCACTGCAATATATATAGATGACATTGCTCACATGAATTGCTGTGGTGTGCTTGTCTAATTTTATGATGATCTTGCTAACCAAACACACTCTTGCTCACTGGTGCTCACAGAAGGAGCACTTCACACCATGTGAATGGTGACAGCTGGCACCAGCTGCCCTTCTCAGGCACTCTTGCAACTCAAATAGAGAGCTAACTGGTGTGAACAACATTGGAAAGATTTCAAGATGAGAAAGAGGTGAAGGGCTTTAATTCCCAAATCTTGGACAGCAGTCAACAGAGTTTGGAATGTGCAACAGTGTTAAAAATTATCAAGTTCATTCCATATCTTGAGGCAGTACTGTATCCAACTCCAAGAAGTATGTTACATTTCACAAGCTTCACATGCAGTTCATCCCAGCTAGTAAGAGCAAATGTTCTGAAGGTTTAAATTATTCAACAAATAATTGCAAAAAAAGATATCTCAAGTGAATGCATTGAGAACTTTCTTTGGGAGGGCAAAATTCAGATGCAAAGCAGTTGTCAGCCATGACTGGGAGCAAAATGAAACAGAGAAGGAAAGTGCCAGAGTAAATAAGGAAGATAATTGTGAACATCAACAGCAGTCAGGAGACTTCACTGAGTGGATAAAATTCAAACTGGCCCTTGAAAGATAGGCAGAATTTCAGCAAAAAAAAAAAAAAAAAAGAACTGAGAAGGGAACTCAGAAAGTAAAGTAGCAGCAAGGGCTTGAAGGCAGCAATGGATGAGACTGGCTGCTACAGGGCAGGATGTGGTACATTTGGGAAATAAGTTTCCACTTCTATTCCCATTTGTGTTTGCTGCCAAAAATGCAGCTCAGATGTAGATTCAAACCCCTCAGTGCCATGATGCCATGAGTTTCTTTGCGAACAATGTCTGGTTTATTGTCTGGATCACCTGCTCTTGAGCTTTTTGAAGACAGAAAAATATATATAACATATATACTCACATATATTATACACATGTATGTATTTGCATACACACATACATATGACGCATGCACTGGCTTGCAGTACCCATGGCGTTATAGATGAGACATGAGACAAATTCACATGAAATAGCAAGTCCTGAGGAGGAAAAGGAAGAGCATGGCTACTCCCTCAAGAGGGGAGTGCCTTGGAGAAGCCTGGCAACTCTCTCAAGGGGAGAGAGTACTGACCTTTGCCTAGACAGGCTTTTATTATTTTTTTCCCCCACAGAAGTTCAGGTACAACTTATCATTATCAGGCAGTGAATAGTAGATAGTATACAAAGAACCTTTAGGGCTTCTTCTAAGTCAGGGTCTATCAGCTATACGGCTGCAAGACTTTGGGAAAACAAACTCATTTTCTGCTCGATCTTTTATGACTTAACTAAAAGCATTCTTAGCAAAGCAGGCTTCACAGGATTATTAAGAATTCTTTCTTTTGCCAGATCACCTTGGACCCCACTCTAGCTGGTGAAGGGTTGTACCATCTTTCCCATCACAGGTTTTCAGGCTTAAGTGGATTAGAGCCAGGAAGCACTTCTCCCAGAGGACATGGGGACTGGGCTATGTCAGAATAGCCGGGGGATGAGGGTCGATGGACCCTCATCCATCCAACAAAGCTCCCTCTTTGTTGCAGCTCCCCGAGTCCTTCCACGATGTCCTCCCAAGTGATCATGTTTGGCTTAGGTTGCCCCCTTCTGAGGGGTCATACCTGTCATACACTATCTGACCATGCATTGGGGGTAGGGAAGGGAGTAGCTAGAAGCAGCATTTGCTACCAGAGACAAGCTTTGTCTCTTTGTGGCTCGCATTCCAGAGGTTGCTCATTCATTTTTAGCCATGGGAGGCAGTTACAATTCCTGAAATCAGGCAAAGCAGTTCCCAACATACATACATACAGGAACATAGCAGAAAATCAGCAAATGCATGTAGATGGAATGATGAATTAATGTAGTAGGAGACAAAGATAATAAAGGTAGATAGGAAGAAGGAGGCAAGGTCATGGGAGACCTTGAAAGACAAGCTGGAGGATTTGGATTCTCACATTTAATGCCTCAGGCTCCATCATGCACTGGAGAACATGTGAATTGAATGTGTAGAATCTTAATTTCACTGTAAGTAGAGTTGCAATAAAATATATATTTTAGAAAATGGGAAAGAGACATGAGGCAAACTGTTACTATAAGAGTAGTTCTCAACTGTTTTGTTTCCCTATCTAAAAAGTGGTCTCACATTTAGAATAATTCTTTCAAGAGAAGTTGTGTTATGAATTCACTATGATGTAGAGAATAAAATAGTTGCAAGTGAAAATTTTAACGTAGTCAGGAGCTCATCCTTTGGACCTCTTCATATGGGTCCCTACACCACTCTGCAAATGTGGGTTCAAAGAAACTCTATCATGGAACCCCAGGCTTTTAGAGCCATGGGTGTGTACCTTGCTCTTGGTCAAGACTCAGTTTTCCTCTACCTCTCAGATATCTCAGATGCTGAGGAATTATTTCACATCCATGGAAAGTACAGTGATTTGTATTATTCTCTATACTATTTGCTTGAGACCCTGGCAATCAGGTGATATCATTTCCCCCAGGTGTATCTCCTCACATAAATCCCAAGGTTAACATAAGTGAGTGTAGTAATTGGAATGATATTTAACATGCACATTTCTGCTGTCACTTTCCAAGACTCTTAATTCACCAAACTGCCAGCTAAAATATTCTCATCTTTACACTGGTGTTTGCTTTGGGTGCACAGGCATGGACTTTTTTCTTTTATTTTGCTAAATATATGTGTACATATAACACATATAATATTAGGAATGCATTACTAGGAATAAACCCTTTACCCATTGAGCCAGGGTAATGATGGTAGGGAGGAGGATCAGCAAGGGGATGTTACTAATGGCAAACAGAAGAATTCCCAGCATACTTGTGTTTTGGGGAAATGTAGAAAATTTGTTTTTAGTTAAAATCCCAGTTAGCAAGCCTCTTACCACTAAAGAAAGTACATTTTTTCCTTCTTATCTCCTGCACCCTCACACCAGACAGTGAGTTAGTTCAGCAGAGGACACACAGACAGGAGATTGAGATCAGATTCAGCAGTCAGAAGTGTAGGAGACACTGGAAAGTCCAATCTTCTGAGACATTCGTTGATCAAAATTGCAGTGACCACAGAACCCTTATGTTTGCAGGGAATGAGGCCACATCTACCCTTCTTGCCAAATTGCTCCAACTCCATATAAGCCAGCTTTTCTCTGAGATTTTCTTCTAGTACTCTGTTTATTTTATTCATGCCAATATTCGGGAACTTGTATGTTTACTTCCATCATTATTTGGTTCAAATCTGTGTCCCTCAACTGAGCTTTCTGAAATCTGAGATAGTCTATGGTGTTCAGCACTCAACTATATCCTCAGCTCCTATCCAGCACCTGACACACAGAGATGGTCCAAATACAAGGGACAAATGAAAAAATAAATAAAGGAACAAAGAAATAAATGAATCAATGCCCCATTATAGTAAAAGACAGTTGCAGGATCCAAGAACATGAGAAAGACCAGAACCTGGAAAAATCAACAACTGTCTATTTTGCTCTCTCCTAGGTCCAGGACAAAAAATGTGCTGGTCCTCAGAAAAAAGCTATTGAGTGAGTGGTTGAGTTGCATGAAGACTAGCAGAGCACAGGCTGTCTGGCAGCAAGAGAAAAAGGAGGAGCATCAGGACCACTTGATGTCATATCATGTATGCTTTGTGTATGAGTATGTAAACACCTATATATATACATACATGCTGATGTGGAGGCATAATTTTCATGTCAAATTGTAAGCTTCTGTAATTCTCAATAAAATTATTCAATTTAATCTATAAACCTCAAGCTGTATAAGAAGCACATCTGGGATGGTGATGATGATTATTTTTATTTTATTTAAATCAGGAATAGTCCCCTACCAAATGATTACAGTGAAAATAATCTTTTTCATTATCCATTAATCTATTTGATGGGCTCTTGGGTGGCTCCTGTATCTTGGCTATTGTAAATAATGCTGCAATAAACATAGGGATGCCTATATGTTTTTGAATTAGTGTTTTGGGTTTTTTTAGGCAAGTACTCAGAAGTGAAATTGCTGGATCCTTCTTCGTCTCTTGTTATGGCATTTGTTTTAAAGTCTGTTTTGTCTGTCTTTCTATATTCACTTCTTTCTGTTTATTTGTTTCCATTTTTATGAAATATCTTTTTCCAACCCTTTACTTTCAGTTGGTGTATCTTTGGATCTAAAGTGAGTCTCTTACAGATAACATATGTAAAGGTCTTAATTTTTTAAATCATTCAGCTGCCCAGTGTCTTTTATTGGAAAAGTAAGACAGAGAAAGACAAATACCATATAATTTCACTCATATGAAGAACCTAAAGAATAAAATAAACAAATAAAACAGGAAAAGACTCACAGATACAAAGAACAGTTTGATGATTGCCAGAGGACAGG